TATTCTATTCTATTCTATTCTATTCTATTCTATTCTATTCTATTCTAAACACACTTTTGTCATATGAAGTAGCAAAATCATCTGCAATTTTGTATCTTGCTTGCTTTGACATTGTTGAAAACCTATCCATGTGCTATGTAAAGCATGACTTATTGTGTAATGTAATGTGTAGATTCTATTACAAACCACAGCATAATATAAAGCCACTGTTTGTAGTGTGAATAACCATTTGCTGAAAGCAGAGAATGACTTTTATAGCTTCTCAGGCTTTGAAAATGCCATAAATATTCCCTGGGAACGTTACAGAAGAGAAATGAGAATCTCATTAGTAAAAAGGAACGCAAAGTTTAATTTTAGTTTTAATTGACTATGCTGTCTTAATTTGTTCATATATCCAGATTTTCTTAATTTTCATGGATCTATTTCAAATGGCTTAATTATTAGCTGGAGCACTCCAGAACTCCGATGTAGAAAATACAAATTCTGCTAAATTCTTCTTCTCAGACTCATTTATTTTTTCCCATAAAAATTAAATCTAGCTTTCAAAATAGCATGTTATGGTCATAGGTCCGAGTCAATTAGCTCATATCATCACCTATTTTTCTCAAGAATAAAGGCAAACATCTATTTTTCTCCCGAAACTATTATTCTAAAAATTTACATAGAAGGAAAATATTTTTTTAAAAAGGGCAGAGATACTATGGCAAGGGTATCAAACCTGATTTTATTGATGGCCGCGTCAGGGTTGTGTCTGACCTCAGGGGGCCAGGGGTATGTGGCCAGGGTAGGCATGGCCACCTTGATGTCACTCATGTCGGGGGTGCCTGTGGTGGCCCAAACGCTCTGCCAATGAAAACTCCCAAGCTCTGTTTTAGGTTACAACCTAAAATGGAGCTCCATTTTCACTGGCAGAGGCATTGCTGTTTCCAGGGCAGCCCTGTGGACCAGATCTAAGCACCCCATGGGCCGGATCATGTCCCTGGGCCTTGAGTTTGATACCCCAGCTATATGTGAATCAAACAGGAAAAAAATAAAGTAGCCCCTCTAGGGAGTTGGAAACATGGTTATTTGGCTACTGATCAGGGAACTTGACCCAGGAAACTGACTCCACAGGACTAGAGTTAACTAGAACTGTAGTTAACTGAGATAGGTTATAGTAACAAGATCTTGCAAGCCTGAATATGCTTTACCTCCCCTCACTCATATTTCCAGTGAGTCAAGGTGGACCCTACCTGAGTCTCCTCTGAAAACTATCTTCCTTCCCAGGACTTAAAGAATGTTTCAGACTATTTTGCTTATGTAACAGTTATTTTTTTTCTTCTTTAGTTCTTCATGGTTCTCTACAGTAAGTATGTGTGTATATATGTATGTATGTATGTATGTGTGTGTGTGTGTGTGTGTGTGTGTGTGTGTTATTCAGCTTTGTTTGGTATTTTCCCACATCATTGTAGTTGTGCTTTTAAAGTTTCGGCAGAATCTCATCTGCCATCATCAGGCTTCTGTATTGTGTTTGTCTGTGAGTCATATATATATATATGACACTATTGGAGGAGGTCAACTACTAACTACTAAGATATCTGTATTAGCTTTCCATAATCTCATGCTCTTCAGATATGTTTGGGAACCAATTTGGAGAATTCCTACTCAGTTAAGTCTAGAAACAGAATCACAACAGTTCTAGAGAGTACTGAGTTGAAAAAACTAAATCTACTCCTTTAAATTCACTTTTAACTTTCCCAATATGCATAATACATTCAGACATATACTGATTTTTTTTTACATAGAGCAATACCAGGTATATCTTTAAGAAACAAAAAGAGAAGATTAATCTACTTGAAAGAAAATGATTAATTTTTAAAACGTACATAACTACATGAATGTTAAATTGACTAAAATTCATGTAAATATTTTTTAACAAACCAACAAATCTCTTTCACTGTAAGATAAAACAGCATAAAACTTAATTTATTTAGTCATTTAGGCTATCAGGTATTTTAAACATGGAATTTGATTATTTCTTTATTTCTCTCTCATTAAAAAGAAGTGACAGAAGGAAACTTATCAAGGAGAGATCCAACCTTGAACTAAAGAGAAATTTCCTGATAGTGAGAGCAATTAATCAGTGGAATGGTTTCCCTCTAGAACAGAGGTGTCAAACTCGAGGCCTATGGGCTGGATGCATCACATGCTGGCCCCACCCAGTCCCTGCCTGATTTAGTGAAGGGAAACAAAGTCTTGATACGTCACGTGATGCCACCATGATGACCAGGAGTAGGATTCAAAATTTTTGACTGCCGGTTCTATGGGTGTGGCTTGGTGGGCGTGGCAGGGGAAGGATACTGTAAAATCTCCAGTCAGAGGTGGTATTTGCTGGTTTTCTGAACTACTCAAAATTTCGGCTATCGGTTCTCCAGAACTGGTCAGAACCTGCTGAATACCACCTCTGGTGACGACATGAGTTTGACATCCCTGCTCTAGAAGTTGTGGGTACTCCATCACTGGAAGTTTTTAGGAAGAGATTGAATAGCCATTTTTTTGGAATGGTACACTTGAACAGGGGGTTGGACTGCTAGAAGATCTCCAATTTTCTTCCAACTATGTTATTCTATTTTCTCCTTAGTGTTTGGGATCATCCAATGCCAGCATGATGCTAAACCTGATTTTTATGTAGGTTTTCCCACCCAATGGTCAAAAGCACTCCACAACATTCATTCTGAGGATGCCCAACTTTTTTCCCTATTTCTATTAAATCTCTCTTCCTATGCAATGGCTATTCCTTTTTGGGGTTTTGGGCTACGATACTAAATTATTAGAAGATTTATCATTTGTTTTCATGAAAATATTACAAGATTATCCTTGGAAACGATACTCCCCCCCCCCTTTTTTTTTCCAAGAAAGCAAAATAAGAGAAGTGATAGTTGCTTATACAGCTTGTCAAAAGGACGTGGTTCATCTTAATTCTTGCAGCATTCAGCAACATTTGGTAAATATTCACAACCACAGCAATTTCCATGTTTTATTTTGTTTTTACTTATATGGAAAGATTTTACCCGTCTCTCATGAGAGAAAGCACTAAACCAATGATACTAGTACTACTGAAGTGGTACTCATATTGTGAGAAACTAAAATTGCTTACATACAAGTTTCATAGCATTTTTGCAACCCACTCTACCTAGTCACCAAATGCATATAGTAGGTGCCATTAGTTGGAAGGCAGTGCAAAGTTTATGAGACTCATTAACTAAAAAAAAAAAGAATGCTAGAGTGGCCTATATAACAATTTTAATTATGCTAAATTTATTTCGTATATTTAATCTTAAGAGGTAAGATTGTTGTTTAGAAGCTGCTTCAATTTTGCATACCATTGTCCCCTCTGTGCATTTTCCACGAAGAAACAATTTTTTAAGAAACATATTAAATAATATGCAATTTACTTGGGACCACAAAAGGAAATTATGTAATAAACCAAACATACAAAGGATGCAAATGATAAAAAAAAAAGCCAAAATGATTTCTTCCTGTTTTGTAAATGGTACTAATGTTGATGAAAACTTGAAACTGATCTGAATTTTCTGAAGCCATATCATATTGTGGAACCAAGTTCAGTGTGCAATCAACTATTTCTTTGAGTTTGTTTTCAAAAACAGATCCAGGAAACTACAAAAACACATCCAGGAAACTACAGACCAATCAGCCTAACATCAATACCTGAGAAGATATTGGAAAAGATAATAAAAAACAGATCTGTGAACATTTAAAAACAAATAAAGTTGTCACTAAAAGCCAGCATGGGTTTGTTAAAAAGAGATCATGCTATCTCATTTCAGCCCATTGCTCTAACTCATCAAGATCCTAGAGGAATTCGCAAACCAATTCCATTTTGTGCCACCTGCAAAACTGTAAGCAATCCTTTCGTGTTTTCATCCAGACAATTAATAAAAATATTAAACAGTTGAAAACCTAGGATTGCACCTTGAGGAGATAGGTACCAATTCTCCAATGTGATAAGGAGCAATCAACTACGATTTTCAAGCCATGCAATATATTCACTTGAAAGTTATCTCTATCCCTAGAGCACACAAAATCAGATTGTGAATTAACATCCCATTAGACATCGTACTTCATCAAGGCATTGCTGAAGTCAACATACATTAGGTGAATAGCATTAGCACAATCTATCAAAGGCACCCAGTCAATACATGAGATAAGGTTAGTCTGGAAAGATTAGTTCTGACCACAGGTAAATACTGCATTGTTTTGAGGACAGTTACACTCTGATCTCTTTATGATCTGCTCTACAATCCTTCCAGGTATTGATGTCAGACTTGACAGATCTATACTTTGCTGAATCCCCCTTTGTTCTCTTTTTGAAAAAAAAAAAGAAACACCCACTTGCTGGTGTTCCTCCAGTCATCTGGCACTTCATCAGTACTCCAGGATTTCTCAAAACTAAATACATAAGAGTTTGGCTTTATCACCAGCTACTTCAGAATGGAAAGCTACAATTCATCTGATCCTACATATTTATTTTTTCAAAGAAGTATCCTTGAACAGGTTTCTAACATGCTCAAGCTTTTCTCTTGCCCCCTTCATCCTATTGTTCATAATTTTATAGAAGAAACAGTTTCAGGATAATTGCATAGCTCTGGTTTTCTTTACATACAGATCCTCTCCCATTAGTTTTGATGACATTTGAAAACAGCCCTTTTAGTCTTAAATACTTTGCCTGACTCATCTGGATATTTCATTTTCCTGACTTTTCATTCTACAGTTCTAGATTAGTTCCCTGTATTCTTCCTTCTTCATCCAGCCCTCTTTTCCTTTTCTAAATGTGTCCCTTTTCTGTTCAGATTTTTGCTCTGCATGGCCATTGTGGCTTTTTCTGCTATCCTCCATTTTTTTTCATCATTGAAATTGTTTGCAAGTGTGCATTTTGTATCTCCTTCTTTAGGAAATACAACCTATCTGTAGCTCCTTTTCTCACTTTTTCTTTTTTTTGCCACGCAAGAGTTCCCTTTAGATAAGATGAGCAGGTATAAATTTTATAGCAATAGCACTTAGACTTATAGTGCTCTCTAAGCGGTTTTACAGAGTCAACCTATTGCCCTCAACAATCTGGGTCCTCATTTTACCCACCTTGGAAGGATGAAAGGCTGAGTCAACCTCGAGCCTGGCGGGATTTGAACTGCCAAATTGCAGGCAGCCGATAGTCAGCAGAAGTGGGCTGCAGTACAGCACTCTAACCACTGCACCACCAAGGGTCATTATAAATATATAAATAATCATTACTCTGATTATACTAAAATCTGCTCCTTTTTTGAAGTTTAAAATACATGTCAACTACACTGGAAAACTTGATGGACCAGATTATGGATAGATCATTATGCAAAAAATCTGTGTGGTCACTAAAAGATGATACCAGCATGACGGCACATAAACTATCAACCTTTCTTTCTTGCTTTGATCCACTTTAAAATTGTGTACAGTGGAAATTGTAAAAATCTGAAATGAGGACCAGATTTATTTGCACTGGTGCCAAATCTTTTTAGAATGAGAAATACATACACGTGTTCAGAATCTCAGGCAAATTATGTACCTTTTTTACCCCTGCAGATATTCACACATATCCATATGCATTCTAGACAATAATTTTAGGGTAAACTTAATTAAAATTCCAAATGCGTCCATGAGCCAAATAGATTTGGGATTCCTGTAACTGAGCAGTAATTGTATTATAAAGGCTATTATTTGAAGGATATAATGTGAATTACTTTCAGCAGTGGGAAAATAGAGCAATCTAATGGAAGTAACTTCTCTAGCTGAGAAGGGAAGTTGCTTCCATCTTTCAGCTAAGATCTATCAAGGAATAAATTAGATAATAAGTGATTGAGTAATAAATGAAGCTAAATTAGAATGTCATTGGTTTGGCTTTAATAGAATCATTATGTCATCTACTTATTGACATGGTTCTAATGACAATGTATTACCATAATTCAGCATTTAATAGCGAATTTCAAATGCTGAATGAATCTAATGATAATATATTAATAACAAATCACCATTTCCATAACGTATTACAAATGTCCAAAGGATCTAATGAGAGAAAATACACAACTATATAACATTTACATAGATATTTTATAAAGCTGTAGTATTTATGAAACAAACAAATATTACTCTTTGATTTACCTCTATGCTAACTGAAATGGCTTGCAATTTTGATTATCGAGACCAGCGGTCTTCAAACTTGACAGCTTTTAGACTTGTGGACTTCAACTCCCAGACTTCCTCCTCCAGTCATGTTAGCTCAGGAATTCTGGGAGTTGAAGTCCACAAGTTTTAAACTTGCCAAATTTGAAGACAGTTTGGAATTCTGGGACACACACACACACACACACACACACATAAACGTCAAACTTCTCAACTGGCCATCTTCCTCATAGAGGACCATACAAATAGTAGCTGGATTTTGGGGGGGAAAGCAGGTGTCTCCTGCCCCTCAATTCCAAATCTTTATAAAGTAACCTTCTACTACTTGGTAGTACCTTCTAATCAGATGTACACAACAGCTGAATGAACAGCAGTGACATTCCAGGTCACATGAAAATGCATAAACATGAGCCAATAATGATGATTGTGCATAATATGGAGCCATATGTTAAAAGTGGTGCCCTGATCAAACTAACAAAAAAATCAATTACCTTACAATACTCATCAATGGGTATAAGACGTTTAATAGCAACATCACGGATGTGGCTTCGGCGGAAGAGAATTTTGCCTGTGATAACATAAAGAAAGAATAAAGTTATTAGTTGTTTTATTAGAAATCCACTCTTCTGCAAACTTTAAGGTGATAATAATTCCTAGTCAATTGTATATGAATATACTTTTCAACACAAACATATAAAAGGGCCTTTTCCAATCTTGAAACTCAAACACATTGGGAGGCACCAGACTGAGAAAAGGCAGAACGGCATTCACATATAAATGTTCAAAGATAGAGTTGTTTTATTCATATCTATGATAACTGAAATTTTTAGAAACTTGGGTCTTCTGGGAAATATAAGTGGATTTGGAGATGAAAGCAGAAGATTTCTCTCTCCATTACAAGTTATTTCCAAAATAACCCTCTGGGAAAACTATTAGACAGTTCTTTCTCATATACACAATAGCAACAGGACAAAGAGTACACCAAACTCTTAGATGCATACCCCAAAATAATATGGAACTAATCAGTGAAAAATAAAATACTGTTTGTATCAATTTGTCAGTATAATGAAACGGAAATTGCAAATGGAACCATCTAAGTGCATTGCAGATATAGACAGTTCTCTGAGAGAATTACAATTCTCTTACACCAGTTTTCCCCAATATAGTATATTGGACTTCCAGATGGTTTGGACTTCCTAGCCAGTCATCTGTAATTCTAAGAACCACAGGAGGCCAAAGGAGCAGGAAAATATTATCTAAACCCAGCCAACAAATACTATAATAGAATATAATTACTGTAGCAGACACATATGCCCCATTAGGATACATAATTCATTCATTTATTTACAATATTTAAATACTTCCTACTACAAAGATTCCAGGGGTATACAATAAAAATATTGTTTAAAATGTCACCCTATAAAACATCAATACTTCTTTATATATAAAGACCACATTAAACCATATCTAAAAGTAATTAAGTAAACAATCATTTGCAAATTGTAGTAGCGCAATGCCCAATCTGAAAACAAATCTCTTTCTCACTTTTCTTTTCATATTTCAAGGAGATTGCTATTAAAAAGCTAATAATATCAGTATATATAATTTGTTAAAAGCCATCTATTTCCAGGCTGATAGTATGTGTTTATTCAAATGAGATTACAGAAGGAAATGAATTCCCTGTTATTTTTTTAAGGACTCAATTATACGAATTGCAATTTCACATTGTTCCTCCCAAAGTCAAACAGAAAACGCCCCATAAACTGACTGCAAGGCTGCAAAAAGCATGATGGATTTTTATTTTATATTACTTTAACTGTCATCTACTTCATTTACATTTGCAAAAAATGGCAAAAGAGAAAACTGTTTTCATTCATATACTGAAATATTTGAGGCTGCCATATCGTTTTACTGGCTAAATCTATTTGGAGACGAAACTTTGAAATACAAAAGAACACATAGCAAAGGGAGCTATGCATTGACAATCCAAAGGCACTGTTTCTTTTTCAAGCAAAACAAAATATGCTATATAAAATAATTTGAAGAACTGTTTAGAACAGCATGTTTGAAAACAAAAGCTGACACTGTAATATTTAGCTTTTGTTTTTGGCTGTAACTTTTTAATTTGCTTTTGCTTTTTTACTTGTTTATGCTTTTCTCTTTTTATGTTTTATGTGCATATCTAATTTCTATGGTAGCTTGTCACTATGCAGAATCAAAATCTTGATTTAACAGAGGAGTCTATTTTCAAAGACATGACCTAGCAGAACACAGACACATTTTTGACATTTATCAATCCTTGTGGCATGCCCAACCTCTTTGCTTTTTGTTTGTTTCAATTTTTTGTTTTGGCTGGCTAGGTGACTCTAGGTATGTACAATAAAACCAGCAAATAAAGCATTATCTTTTTTAAAAAAAATCAAAACAATTAGACATAAGTAGAAATAAAATCATGAGTGAATATGTGATCTTCTACATAAATGTAGTCCTCAACTTATGCTTGATTGCTTAGCAACCATTTGAAGTTACAACTGCCGCAAAAATGATCATAAAATTGGTCATGTGGCCGACCCCTTTTATGATTGTTACAACATAGGGACATAATGGGCAGGCTCTATTAGGCTTGTATGTTGAGGACTACCTGTAATACAACCAATATGCAGGCTCCCTGTTACCAGGAAATCCTCAGATCCATTTAAAAAAAACAAAAACCCACACACACACATTTTAAGAGGTTTCTAGAAGATCACTAGGATCGGAGCCAATCACGCCTCTAGGGTGATGATATTCCAGAGGTCGATGCCATGGGAGAAAAGGCTCATTTCCTAAGTCCCATCAGATGCCACTCCCTAGCAGGCAGGACCTATGACTTGCCTGCCCTGGTAAACCTGATGGGACAAGTAGATGTAACCGGGAAAGGCAGTCCATCCAATAACCTGGCTGTGTTACATATAAAGCTTCAAAGGCCAAAGGAACACCTTGAAATGCAGCAACATCTATAAGGCACTAGATTTATTCCCTGTGAAAACAAATGTAAATGTTCAGATGTAACTGCCATCATGTCAAAAATGATTTTAAAGGATTCCTTCCAGGAGACACTTTAAGACACAGGTGTCAAACTCACAGCGTCACATTGCCATCACGTGAGGTTTCACAAAGTTTTCCCCTTCATGGAGTTGGACGTGGCCTGCGTGTGATGCATTTGGCCCATGGGCCACCAATTTAACACACCTTCCTTAAGGTATTTCTCTTTTTTTCCTATATGCAACAAATTTAATTGCCACAGAAAGGAGGAAAGCCCTGTTTTTGGCCAGAACTGATTTCAAATTCTATAAAATCACTGTTATAAATTCAAATATTTCTTTGATAAATTATTTAATAGCAAGTTAGTTTTCCAGTGAGTTGGTTTAGAACAATTTAGTTTATATTTAGAAGTCCAAAAGCATCTAGGTTGGTTTATCTGAGTTTCATAGCCAGCAGAAGTAAATTAAAATTTACAACCCATATCTTCTTATTGATGTACCCATAAACCATTCAGGCAATCAAAGTAAATGGCCAGTTAATCTTGCTTGCCATTTGCACAAGCAATCAGAGTAATGCATGCTCATGTCTCCACTGCAATGAGGAACGTTAGGGCTATTTCTTCTAATCCAGAGGTGCTGCTTTCCTTACAATTTACATTATTTTCCATAGAGCTGTCTCGAGTGTCCAGGTTGGGAGGAGCTCCAGTCTCGGCTCTCACAGGCTGAGCTTGAGATTGAGGCACGCCTCTCACCATCACGTGGTCCTCCGGGCGCGCCCCAGTTTTTTGCTCAGCCTCGTGGCAGTCAGGCTGGTTTTCCTTTTGCTCCTGGTCGTTCTAGCACCTCGTGTTTTCTTTTTTTTGATCAACTTGGACTCTCAGACAGCGCAGGAAACTGAGGTTTGAGCTCCCTAGGGAGCCTTTTTCTTCTAAGGGGAATTGTTTCACTATCCTTTTAAGGGAGAATCCAGCGCTTCGAGCGCTGCCCCCCCGCCTCCGATTGCCGCCTTTTCGCTCCGTGCGAAGCTGCATTGTTTCTTTCCTGCCTGGTTTTGTTCTTTCACCGTTTCCCCCCCACGAACGCCATCTAACCCTGCCTCTCCCAGGTACTTCTTTGTGGCCTCCGGGCCTTTTTAACTTCTCCTGGGTGATAGCCGCCGCTGGGGATTGCCTCGTCATTGCGCCCTCCATTTTGGGCTCCCTGTGGCGTCAGCCATCTTGGGAGTGGCAGGAGTCGCCGCCATCTTGTGTGTGGCCACATGGCCGGGCGCCATTTTTCAGAGGCCTATAACAGGGTTTTTCTTAATGTTTTATAGGCAGACTCTGGACTGCCTATATCCTTGCCTGTTTGCGCTTAGTTTCTATCAGGCTAACCAGGGTTAGTTGGCTCTGTAGCCCTTCCCCCAGCAGGCGAGTTAGCAGCTCTGCCATCCCCCTTCCCCGGTCCGTCTGGCAGGGGTAGCTGCCTGGCGTTCAACTTTTGGCTAATTGGCTTCTGGGCTAGGCCCTACTGTGCAACAGCCTCCTATTTTAAATACAAAAAAATTTTTTTTTGATCAAAAGGGGGGTGCGAAACGTGCGCTAGGATCCCCGGCCTCTACGTAGGCCGCATCCAAACGTGCAACTGTCCGAGGACCTGTGATGGCACTTTACTTTAAAATTTTTGGTTGGTAGCCCCAGGGACGCCTGCCACTGCTCGAGGCCTACCTGCAGGCCGCATTGTGTTTGATTCCTGGGCAGATCCTTGGAATGTCCAAATCCCTGCTGGTACCTTGCAATCCTGCCTTGGTACTCCTCTAGATATAGGAGTCTACTGGCTACACAGTCTCTCCCCAGCAAAGGAGGTAGCAGCTCCGCCATCCCCCTTCCCCGGTCCGCCCGGCAGGGGCGGTTTTTTGGCGTCCATCTTTGGCAATTGGCTTCTGGGCTAGGCCCTACTTCTCAACAACGTGCAAAGCACCTCTGTTGCCCTTGACCTGGGGGGGTGCGAAACGAGTACTGGGTTTCCCGGCCCCTGCTTAGGCTGTGTCCAGCCTTGTTAATCACCTCACGTTAATCAAGAACTTTTCCTCCTTTCTCCTCTCCAGATGGCAGACAACAATGCATCTCGTGGCACTTCCCTGAAGGCCAAGGCTAAGTCTCACCACCTGCGCAAACAAGCACAGGAAACATCCAAAGCCTCTCAAAGGGATGCCCTTAGGCGACACAGGGCCCTTGAAAAGGAGATTGACAGACGCTCTAAGGAGTCAAGCTCTGTGCCTCTGGACCCTTCCAATCCCACTCCCTCTACCTCCACCCATCCTCCCTCCTCCCCTGCTTCTGCCTCTTCATCGCAGCCTGGACAGGCCCCTGAGGCCACCTTCCCCCCCGCTGCTGCAGGTCTGCGCCCGGAGGAGCCTCACCCACCCCCCACGGTGGAAATCCCCGAAAATCTCAAACAAGCGATGGAGCTGGCCATCCGGCACAGGATAGCACAACAGTTTCAGCAGCTGACCGGTCTGGCCCCTAGGCCTGAGGCCCCCGAGGCTCGAGGATCAGCAACTTCG